CACACACTAATGACCTCAGTCTCACAGACTCCAGACCTAGTATCACACACTAATGACCTCAGTCTCACAGACACCAGACCTAGTATCACACACTAATGACCTCAGTCTCACAGACTCAAGACCTAGTATCACAGACTCCAGACCTAGTATCACACACTAATGACCTCAGTCTCACTGACTCCAGACCTAGTAACACACACTAATGACCTCAGTCTCACTGACTCCAGACCTAGTAACACACACTAATGACCTCAGTCTCACTGACTCCAGACCTAGTAACACACACTAATGACCTCAGTCTCACAGACTCTAGACCTAGTATCACAGACTAATGACCTCAGTCTCACAGACTCCAGACCTAGTATCACACACTAATGACCTCAGTCTCACAGACTCCAGACCTGGTATCACAGACTTATGACCTCTGTCTCACAGACTACCTCAGTCTCACAGACTCCAGACCTAGTATCACACACTAATGACCTCAGTCTCACTGACTCCAGACCTAGTATCACACACTAATAACCTCAGTCTCACAGACTACCTCAGTCTCAAAGACTCTAGACCTAGTATCACACACTAATGACCTCAGTCTCACAGACTCCAGACCTAGTATCACACACTAATGACCTCAGTCTCACTGACTCAAGACCTAGTCTCACACACTAATGACCTCAGTCTCACAGACTCTAGACCTAGTATCAGACTAATGACCTCAGTCTCACAGACTCTAGACCTAGTATCACACACTAATGACCTCAGTCTCACAGACTCAGGACCTAGTATCACACACTAATGACCTCAGTCTCACAGACTACCTCAGTCTCACAGACTCTAGACCTAGTATCAGACTAATGACCTCAGTCTCACAGACTCTAGACCTAGTATCACACACTAATGACCTCAGTTTTACAGATTAATAACCTCAAAGCATCATAGACCAATGATTTTACAAAGATACAGACTTCAGACCTTACTATGACAAAAATCTTACAACATCCCAGTATCAGAGACACCAGACCTTACATTGTCACAGATACCAGACTTCACAGTGTCACAGACACCAGACTCCACAGTGTCACAAATCACAGACCTTACAGCGCACAGACACTACACTCCACAGAGTCACAAATCACAGACCTTACAGTGTCACAGACACCAGACTCCACAGTGTCACAAATCACAGACCTTACAGTGTCACAGACACTACACTCCACAGAGTCACAAATCACAGACCTTACAGCGCACAGACACTACACTCCACAGAGTCACAAATCACAGACCTTACAGTGTCACAGACACCAGACTCCACAGTGTCACAAATCACAGACCTTACAGTGTCACAGACACTACACTCCACAGTGTCACAAATCACAGACCTTACAGTGTCACAGACACCAGACTCCACAGTGTCACAAATCACAGACCTTACAGCGCACAGACACTACACTCCACAGAGTCACAAATCACAGACCTTACAGTGTCACAGACACCAGACTCCACAGTGTCACAAATCACAGACCTTACAGTGTCACAGACACTACACTCCACAGAGTCACAAATCACAGACCTTACAGCGCACAGACACTACACTCCACAGAGTCACAAATCACAGACCTTACAGTGTCACAGACACCAGACTCCACAGTGTCACAAATCACAGACCTTACAGTGTCACAGACACTACACTCCACAGTGTCACAAATCACAGACCTTACAGTGTCACAGACACCAGACTCCACAGTGTCACAAATCACAGACCTTACAGCGCACAGACACTACACTCCACAGAGTCACAAATCACAGACCTTACAGTGTCACAGACACCAGACTCCACAGTGTCACAAATCACAGACCTTACAGTGTCACAGACACTACACTCCACAGTGTCACAAATCACAGACCTTATAGTGTCACAGACACCAGACTCCACAGTGTCATATATTAAAGACCTCACAGTGTCAAAGACTACAGTCTAACATTTGTTTGCTAGGTTTAATGCCCTGTGAACAGCCTGGGTCAGTTTGAGGTGAAGTCTTCATGACCAAGGATACAATCCACAACATTACAGTCCATCCCATTTTTCTGCTTCCTGAGGAACAGAAGATGCACCAGGTAGGGAACACCTCATATGTTCATACGAGGTTACATAAGCCAACATTCTAAACAAATGAGCTAACAGTGTCACAACCTATAGACTTCATAATGTCATAGACACAAGACCTCAAACTGACAGCCTCAAGACCTCACAGTAACAGACTCCAGACTTCAGAGAAACAACTGACTCCAGACATCAAAGGGTCACAGACAGCAGACTCAAATCATCACATGCTAATGACCTCACAGTGTCAGAGACTACAGACCTCACAGGAACACATTCTCAAGACCTCAAAATGTCAATGAATGAGTACAGACCTCATAGTGACATAGACTCCAGACCATACAGTGTCACTTGTGTTTGTCTTTCTGCTGCTGGCTGTTTCTTATCATCCAGACTGACTATTCCCTGGTAACTATGCCAATATCCAATACAACAAAACTACCAAGTAACCATGGTAACTTGCTAGTATAGAACTGAAAATGGACACTTTTAAAGTGACCTATCAAAAGTTGATAATCATAAAAATGTCATCATCATCAGATAAAATATTCAATCACTTAGATAACCTAATACCAATCCATTTATGTTTAAACTACAAGTCAGGATGTCCAAAATGCAAATTCAGTTAAATCTACAATTGAAGATTTCAGAGAAACCTACCACTTACATGGGATCCCGATAACACATCATTAATATGATTTGTTGTGAAGGAAACACAAAGAGGGAGAAGAAGCATGACAATCACCACTGTCTGCACCAGGAAAGCATTTCTATGAGATTTTTTAGTGTCTGGGAGCTCATTGTATTGGAGTTTGACCTTTGACCCACCATTGTATAGTCAGCTGTTTATCATCCTGTTGACAGGAGATTTGCAGAGCGTTCTGACACAAAAACTGACAAGAATTATAAAGATTTTAGTGGAGGGCTGACTGGTTTGTCATTCAATGCTGAGTTATGTAAATAATCCCCTACAGTCCCAAGCCCAGGACCAAACAGTTCTGTCCCCCCTGCACACATACATCTTCTCCATCCCCCTCATCAGCACTCCACTCTATAATACTACACAGTCCCTTTTGAACGACTAAGTATACAATTTCTTTACCATTCAGAATAGTAATCCATTCTACAAAACCACATAGTCCCCCTCCAAGGGCTAAAACAGCTTTGTTCCCTCCCCCTAATAACTTCTCCTCCCCTTTTAACTCACTATCCTACAATACCACACAGTCCCCCTCACAGGACCACATGACTCTTTCCCCTTTCATTTTTAACTCAGTTTTCCAAAATCAAATTCCTCACATTTTCCCCCATTCCTTCAATGTCATCTTTGCCTCCAAAAACCTGGTAAGCTTCCCTTACCTTATCACCATCCTCACTATCATAATGTGACACAAGCTCATGTATTAATGCCTACAGGTTTTGGCTTTTATTCTGCTTTTGAATTTAGTCAAACAAATCCTTGGTTTATAGTAAAAGATCACCTGCTACTGTATATATAACTATTTATATACAGAGTAAGATGTCAAAACATACAGTACTTGACGTTAACACTTACGAACATTGAGACAAAGGATGTCACATCAAACAGTGAATTCTAACTTAACTTTTCGTTAACATTTCATTATTGATAGGATGTATACATTAGCATTTCAAATTCACATATGCTTGTTGAGTGTAGTTCATGCATCACTGAAACAGGATTCTAACCACAAGGTGTTGTTTATCATCAACTTTTTATCACTACTGCTGTGACGTACTCAAAACTTCTCTAATATCACCAGTGCTATGATGTTGTACTCGAAACTTCTGTTATCAGTAACACTGTGATGTTGTACTCAAAATTTCTCTAATCATCACTACCACTATGATGTTGTACTCAAAATTTCTCTAATCATCACTACCACTATGATGTTGTACTCAAAATTCCTTTATCTTTATTAATGCTATTTGCAAAAAGCTTTATTTTTACTGAAAACCACACCTTCATTTGATTGAAGTTGCAGACATCGACAATACATGACAGTGTTGGTAAAAACTTCAGATAGATATAACACAGAAATGTATGGGGAAGTTATTCACAGATCATAACTTAGAAAAGCACTGAATTGTAAAACTCTGATGGCTCATATGTTACAACAATTTATCACCCTTTTACCCATTCATCTGCTGATGGTATTTCCAGTTATACTTAAAATAAAAAAAAAATACATATTATCAGAACAAGGATAATCCCTTTTACCTAAGAGATAGTTACAAGCATCTAAAGCTACATTACAAGTTCCACTAGACTGTTCTAGACATTTAGTGGTGTTTCAGTAGCTTCCTCATAAAAACACACTGCAGTGAATTATTTACTTGTTTTGTGTTTTATGAACACGAGCTGATTATCAATACTGTTTCCATGCTGTTCATGACAACCACTCCAAATTACATTACCTATAATGCACGGGAGATACACATGACATCACAATGATACATGTACCCTATCCTGTCTACCTGATCCACACACCTCACCCAACCATTAGTGTGGGCAGTGACAAATTGGCTTTAATTAACTTATGGGAAATGTTGAAAACTTGTTGTTTCAAATACATTTGAGGAGGTTACTGAAAGTTGTCACACACAAGATACATAACATCCTATATGTATCACTCAACAACATTGTGTATGGGTCACAGGTTCAGTAGGTATAGAGCCCCAGGGCAGGTTTCACACCAAAGTTATGTCACACACACCTTACAATTAAGTGCATAGGAATCTCCCATCAACTACATCATTTGTCATAATTAATACACGCAAACTTATCAATTAGTATGATAGCATGTGTTACACTGGTAAACATATGAATGTTTTCTGGTCAGGACACTTCACATCTTTAAATCACAAACTAAGCTCTTACCTTGTGTGTACACTGTGCAGGTCAATGTTCTTCTCCACATGGCTGGTTGCAGGCTGCAAAAAGCAAGTATTTAATTCACCCTTGGACAAAATTGACATGAATATGTTCTTTCATCGGTAGCCATAGCTGCTAACAAACTCATCAGCTATTCATCTTGCATTTAAAACATTAAAATGACTTGCTTTCAAATTTATTAAAATTGGCTCAACATAATTTTACCTACACTAAAATGATTCTATACAAGGTGTTCTGGATACTAGTAATATCACAATAGATAATCATGCTATACTCGCATATCATGACTATTTCTGCATAAAACATATTGGTAAAAGAACATTGAAGGTATTATGTTCAGAAGATGTGATTTTGAAAGTGGGTCAATGTAATGCACTTGGGCAAACTTGATTGCTGTAGGATATTCAGAGAGAAGTCCATTTAAGATTTCAAAACCTCTCCTCATTATTGTTTTTGGACTTTGAGGATAGATCAAGGTCATTTTTGTCAGCAGACATGACAGCATTTTATCACATCATGCTGCTACCAAAATATCAATATTACTGGCCCCTCAGCTATACATAAGACACTTTAGAACTTCTATTAATATATTATGATGCCATTGATTTGAAAAATGGGTCAAGGTCATTCATTTTAACAAAACAGTAAGTCCTTTATAATTATTCAAGAGAAAAATAGCTGGTATGTGGTTGATGTAAGGCACACTAATGATAAAAGTGAGCTTGTAATGCTTTAGCCATATCAGGATTTGAAGCTGGAACTCCTAAACTCTAAACAGACGACTGGGCGACATATGCTTGATGACTGGCAATCAATAGTTCTGTAGGTAGATTAGACCTAGAACTTCAATAGACTACAGCATTAATCAAAAGAAACATTAGAACTCAGGTATCATGTCCCTATATTCCAATGATACACAAGTTAAAAAGCAGAATTTCCGTTACACCAATCTTAATGAGATGATCGGTTATTTTGTTCTGCCTCACTGGTTGGGATGATTTCCTGTATTTGATGCATCACTTTTTGATTATACAATAATCAATGTCCATTTTGACATGCTTGAGTGACCCTGCCAGACCTGCCCTTGCCATGTCATGTGATTACATAGAGTACTTGTTTGGATCTGTAATGATTTTTCCAATACTCTGATTGTATACATCTAATCTAGTGTCACTAACACGCTGACTTATCAAGCTTTAGATCCTACAGGAGAAATATATCAGTCATTAGTCGAGTCAGGTGAAAAGTGAGAGAGCCTGATAGCACAGGTATTGCTATCAAAGCCAGCCAGGTAAGGCTGGTATTCGTGCTGCTGGCACCCGTCCTCACAAAACAGGTGTCCAATGTACTACTGTCAGCAAACACAAATCTTAATGTGAAAGTTAGTATTGACATCTAGCATCTATCATCAAAGCTGATCTTATCAATTAATCATTGACTGCCAATCGCCTGACAAGAAATTACTTGAAGTTACCTGCTAATTCTAAGCATTTGCAAGTTGCTTAATGTTTTTATCTTTGTACATTTTTTCCAATTTTTATTTCTTATATGAATATCAATTACTGTTTCCTCTCTCTGATGTTTGGACAGAGTACAGAGTGAAGAAAGTGAGAACCTATGTAGGGTACAGCAGAAGCTACATTAGGGTGGAGAGAATATAGGTAGGGTACAGCAGAAGTCTACAATAGGGTGGAGAGAATATAGGTAGGGTACAGCAGAACTCTACAGTAGGGTGGAGAGAATATAGGCAGGGTACAGCAGAAGTCTACAGTAGAAAGGAGAGAATATAGGTAGGGTACAGCAGAAGTCTACAGTAGGAAGGAGAGAATATAGTTAGGGTACAGCAGAAGTCTACAGTAGGAAGGGGAGAATATAGGTAAGGTACAGCAGAAGTCTACAGTAGGGTGGAGAGAATATAGGTAGGGCACAGCAGAACTCTACAGTAGGGTGAGAGAATATAGGTAGGGTAAAGCAGGAATCTACAGTAGGAAGGAGAGAATATAGGTAGGGTACAGCAGAAGTCTACAGTAGGAAGGAGAGAATATAGGCAGGGTACAGCAGAAGACTACAGTAGGGTGGAGAGAATATAGGTAGGGTACAGCAGAAGTCTAAATTAGGGTGAGAGAATAAAGGCAGGGTACAGCAGGAGTCTACAGTAGGGTGAGAGAATATAGGTAGGGTACAGCAGAAGTCTAAATTAGGGTGAGAGAATAAAGGCAGTGTACAGCAGGAATCTACAATAGGGTGAGAGAATATAGGTAAGGTACAGCAGGAATCTACAGTAGAAAGGAGAGAATATAGGTAGGGTACAGCAGAACTCTACAGTAGGGTGAGAGAATATAGGTAGGGTACAGCAGAAGTCTACAGTAGGGTGGAGAGAATATTGGTAGGGTACAGCAGAACTCTACAGTAGGGTGGGGAGAATATAGGTAGGATACAGCAGAAGTCTACAGTAGGGTGAGAGAATATAGGCAGTGTACAGCAGGAGTCTACAGTAAGGTGAGAGAATATAGTTAGGGTACAGCAGGAATCTACAATAGGGTGAGAGAATATAGGTAAGGTACAGCAGGAATCTACAGTAGAAAGGAGAGAATATAGGTAGGGTACAGCAGAAGTCTACAGTAGGGTGGAGAGAATATAGGTAGGGTACAGCAGAAGTCTACAGTAGGGTGGAGAGAATATAGGTAGGGTACAGCAGAAGTCTACAGTAGGGTGGAGAGAATATAGGTAGGGTACAGCAGAAGTCTACAGTAGGGTGACAAAATGTCTTTGACATGGGGTATATTATCTTCCAGTACTGGAGCAATAGTAAATCTGCCAATACAGGGGTTATATGAAACTGGGTGTGAAGATCTAGAGTAGAAGTAGGAAACATCTGAGACTGGAGGCATACAGAGTATTACTATCTGGGTATGAACATTGGTTAGGAGAGGTGGTTGGTTGGTTAGGAACTTGGGTCATTATATAAAATGGATGTGATTAGTAAGATGAAGTAATAGCTATTTTCTGCAGAGAGAGGAGGTAACTTACCGGGAGTGAGGAGGGAATGGGTGGTGGTTGTGTGCCTGGACTTCCATAAACAGGTTTGGATGCAGTACAGGGTGGATTCGGCCCTGAGCTGGCATACACAGGGTAGGCAGTTGCGTGCACAGGAGTCTGGTTGGAGCTAGCGAGGGGTGACTGACACACCTGGCCTGAGCTAGCATATGGTGAATGGCTAACCTGACTAGAACCAGCGTATGTAGACTGTCCAGTTTGAATTGAACTAGAGTAAGGTGAATGCCCTGCTTGACAAGAATACTGAGTATGACCAGTTCTAGCATAGGGAGAATGGCCAGTGAGGGAAGTGGGATGAGATGGAGCCGGACTGGAACTGGCATACAGTGAAGTTACCATGGCTGCTGCTTGACCAGGTGGCATGGCTGTCTGCAAGTAAAAGACATCAGAACATGATTATAATACATGGTAGAGAATCTGTGGGTGACATAGATGACTGCTAGTGAAAGTACTGGGAATATGCCCTTATATATGCAAGGTAGTCTGTCACCTTACAGTTGCACGAGTGTTTTGTTGACATCTCCTTTACAAAAATCTGCCATATCTTAATCACTGGACATACTTTTACTGTCAAATTTATTTTCATGGAACTCCAAATTCATGCTTCTACAGAAATTTACTATTTGTGGACACTAGATATAAAAATATAACTCAACAAGGAGCCACTGAACATGGCATTATCCTCCACACCCAGCTGTTGGTGTAAAATCAAAATATGATATATATATATATACTGGTATTACAATTTGTGATGTCACTCAACTATGTACCTTTACAATCACCTGAATACCTAACACATTGAAAGTGCTAGTGTAAAATGTAACACATCTTTTATCAATTATCAGATAAATTTCCTTGTATCTCATCAACTTCAACATTTTATATATATTTACATATATATTGTATATATCAACCTTCAAGAGTTTATATCTTGATGTAGATCCTGTGTGTTCGAGTGTTGATACTTAAACAGAGCTTGGTATTGTCCATGAATACAATTTAGGCAACACTCTATAAGCTCTGGAGTAATACAAGAAGTCACAAGAAATTGAAAAATTCAATAGTAACAGAAAAAAGATAAATAATAAAATGTCCTCAATAAACAAAGGCACAACTTGGGCACTAACCTAATATACAGAATGTTTTGCTGAGTTGGAACAGTTTTGATGTTGTATGGCGGAAAGGAAAGTATACACTAATTTTGTGTTTTTTTGCTATGTTTCCATGGTAACAGCAAAAGCATATAAAATGAAATATCATCAATAGCAAAAGGCACAACAAATGCTCTAACTTAATAAATACGGTAAGTTTTGTGGAGTTGAGTTGAATGGTTTTGAAGTTATAGCCTGGAAAGGAAGGTTGTTCCCATGGTAACAGAAAAAATATCCAAAATGAAATGTCATCAATAGCAAAAGACACAACCAGGGCACTAACTTAATATATACAGAACGTTTCATTGAGTTGAGTGGAACAGTTTTGAAGTTGTAGCCTGGAAAGGAAAGTAAACTAATTTTGTTTTTTGACTATGTTTCCATGGTAACGGAAAAATATAAAAAATGAAATGTCGTCAATAGTAAAAGGCACAACAAGTACACCAACTGAATATAAACAGCATGTTTTGTAAAATTGTGTTGAGCACTTTTGAAGGTATACCCCGGAAAAGCCCTCAGATGGATGCATGGATGCACTGAACCCATATTAATATCCCCAGAAAACGTGTTTCTTGGGTGATAAAGAATCTATTTATACAAATTTAAACAGTTTGTGGACATATAAATCCTTGGACTAAGAGTTCCCACAAAATCAAGGAAATGGAATTCCCCACGAGACCTAATGATTTTAGAGTAATATATGACGGGTATTCATCCTATTCCTAAGGTAGGTCATATCATTGGAATGTATAATACACAGCACTTCTGTTCAAAATTGGAAAGTTTTCACAACAGCAACTTGTTTATTTTTGTCAATCAATAATGAGGCAAATTCAACTTGGAATGATCGTGATATGGAAAGATCGACTTAATCAATGATCCTTATATAAGATAACTATTGATAGTATCAAATAACACCAATGGGTAACTGAAGACTAAATCAACACAAGGTTAATTACTTTTGATGGCCAATAAATCAAAATCTGGCAAAGTTATGAAATGTAACAGTTTAATATCACCAAAAAGTCTTCTTGATGATCAAGCATTTTTAATGACAAAAGATAAAATATTTACAGGTTTAGAAATTGTTAATGAAATTTTACTGACAGATCTTTCCAAATTGGACCCTATTATCAGACTAAAAATACCCAGAGAAATGTATATATAGTATGTTACACAAGTAATTACAGGTATAAAGATATCTGAGTGTAAATGTACTAATTATGTGTCAGGAAAGCAACAGCTCTTAACACAAATAAATAATGGTTAAATCTTAATTAAAATTAAATTAAAGATATATAGATATGTTTGCATTATGTGGAGAATATGTGCTAGTTGTGTCTTTTCAATAAAATTGTTTTTTCCAGATTTATGATGTAGGTATATGTGTAGTTACATGTATGTAAGGATATTTGTATGTACAATTAAAGAAACACAACATATCAATCACAACAAGCTAAGGATAATTTATCCTTGTTGCAATTGATATCTTCCATTGTTTGTCCCTTTTACTCAATCCCCCTAAATATTGCATGGCATCCAAGCAAGGGATATCAGGAACACTCTGTACTCACACAGCCTTGGCTCTAGTCCCCAGAATTTACAATTAAAGTAGTGACAGCATGAATGAAGTGTGTGGAAATTGAGAGCCATCCTATGTGATGATATATTTGTATTGTTATATATGTACCGTATTTTCCGGATATGAGCCGCACCTTTTTTCATCGTGAATCAGGCGCGCAGTTTATATACTGGTGCAGCTTCTATTGGGACGGGGGAAAAAAATTGGCATGATGACAAAAAAAAAAATGAAGTGTACCAGTACACCAGTACAAGATGGAGTTTTTCAGCAGGTACCTGCTTGTCACATGTTTGTGACTGAAACAGCTCCTCTAGAAACTCCATTTACAATCATATAAAGGATGATTTTGAAGAATGAAATAAAAATAACATTTGCATGGATTTAAGTAATCATACCTTTTAACATGAATCACAACAATATTATCTGGACTTCACAGTTACTTCAAAGTCATAACGAAAGTTTACAATAGCCTTTTGCATCATGGGATCAATAGGTCATCAGGTTATAAGTCAAATTCTAGAATGACCACCATGCTTGTTTTTGACATGGACGGCTTTGTGAAAATTCCAAGAAATAACATGGGACTATAAGAATTTTGTCAGCATGCAAGGGCCTTCATTAATATTTAACAGTACAGACACTGATGTAGAGATTGCTTAACAAACCGTATGTAACATCAGGCCATATATTTGTGTGTAGACAATGTGTGAAGGCACCCAAAGCCAAACAAGTTTGATATTTCCTATTTTACATTTTCTTTAAATACATCAATAACAGTGAAACTTGATCATTCTGAAATTTCTTATACAAAATCATAAAACATTCTTGAATTCTGACCAAAAATATAAAGATGATATTTAATTTAGGAAAGGGGCAACAGAGAATTCTAGAATAACAACATACATTAACACATGACCTATACAAGCTTAATCTGAGCCAACTTTTTTATGGAATGAACCAACAGAAATGTAGCAGGATAAGTAGCCAACTGACATGTGCTGTAATGATGGGAAGGATAGTGTGGGAGGGGGTAGGAGGTCAGAGTACTGTGACACTTGTTCAGTGCCATATATCAATATCTTTGACCTTTGTTGCTTTGTTGATGGCCAAGTCTCCCTCATAGTTTACAAATTGTTCATCAAAAGAAACTACACAATTTGAAACCCAAGTGTTAGAATGTCACCGATCAAAGGTTCAATAAGACAGAAGACAGTACACAAAGATAATACACCATCTTCATTTTAATGTTGTTGTTGTTACAGTACAGACTTCATGCCCAGGGTTACTGTACAGATCTCATACCCAGGGTTACTGTACAGACCTACTGTACAGATCTTGTATCATGGATTACTGTACAGACCTCATACCCAGGGATACTGTACAGACCTTATACCCAGGGTTACTGTACAGACCTTATACCAATGGTTATTGTATAGACCTAACACCCAGGGTTACTGTACAGACCTCATACCCAGGGTTACTGTACAGACCTACTGTACAGATCTTATATCATGGATTACTGTACAGACTTTATAACAAGGGTTTCTGTAGACGTTTTATCCTGGGTTACTGTTGTAACAGACCTACTGTACAGATCTTATGCTCAGCATTACTATACAAACCCTATATATATATCCACCATTACCGTTCAGGTTTTGGGTTGTGGAAGAAAACCAAGCTGTTGTTTCCACCAAAAATTCTAGGTCACTCAATGCTTATACAAAAGGATTATTGGGAAGGATTGAATACAGGACAAGCAGTATGCACAAAGAGTTGGTGCAGTACCAGGCTGTGCCTCATCATCTTGTGATGGCTTTCAAATACTGCCAACACCTCTCAGTATCAGTTAACACAATGTGGAAATATATGTCTACCAATAATTCCAGTACACTGTCACCATACATTTGATCTAGGTCCAACTTCTCACAGCTGGCTGTAGTACAGACAGTATTACATAAATCATAAGTCTCAGATATGCACACCATGGAATGTGGGAGTTCCAGCACATTATAATTAAGACTTTCCATCATCTCTATACCCTAGTGATGGGTGCATTCTCACGTCGTATCTCATTGACAAAATAATTCTTACCAAAACACATTATATAATCTGTATAAGTATTAACAGAAAAAGATCAGCTGTAACTCGAAGTTTATATGGAATCTAGACCCATGTATTAGAAAGATTAACTTAGAAGTACAATAGAAATTCTACCAGATTTTTTGGTTTTTAACTACTTTTGTGTCATAAAGCAACATTACTATTCAAATTACTATAATTCTGTTACAGTCTATAGGATTAATGATAAAAACCTTGTTTATGTCTATAAAAATATCAGTATGTGTTGGGTATACCAAAGTATTTTATGCAAAATCATACATTTGTATTTTTTTTACATGAATGATTCTCTACTAAAACTGATGAATGAACTTTTTAAACAATTTTTTGATATTTGACGGGTTAAATTCAAGTAAAGTGGTTACATCATCAAGTAGTGAAGAGGACTCCATTTATTTCTCCATCATCATCATGCTAAAGATAACACTGCACACAATGATTTTGAATATTTACCAATGGAAGAATTTCTCCCTCATCATCCTAGGCTAAACCTATACACGCGGTGATATGACTCTTTT